TTCAGCTGTCCACACCACAGCAGTGGACAATGAGCTTAAAGCCCCTGATGGCTCTGGGCACTGACTCTCACCAGTGGCTATGGATGAAGTCAATACCCTTGTATTTTTAATAAGTCATTGATTTTTTTTCCCCCATTTATACAATTGAGAGAATTATCTACACAATAAAGGCAGTTCTGGGGATCAGTTTGTTTGTTAGGTTCCATCAATTCACCTATAATTCCTACCAACCTTACGAACACCACATCTGAACTTTACCCTCACCTGAGCTTTCCTCATGATCCTCGTCACGCTCAACAAGCCCACTGTTGGGAGTCCCTGTGTCAGTTCATCTCATTGAAAGTCTTCCTCTATTTTGAGTACCATCAACTTAAAGAGCCCTAGAACATATTATTATGTGTCAAGTTGTTAACAAAAACAGTGGCAGTTCAAATCCACCTACAGAGCACCAACATGGGCGAGTCTCCCCTGTAAAGACTGGCAGCCCTGGAAACCCACCCAACGGAGGGTCTTGCCAGTTGGAACCAACTTTATGGCAGTGGATTTTTTTTGTCTGTTTGTTTGCCCCCCCCCCCAGGTAATAGCTTGTTTAAGTGATTGTAATTCTTTTAGACAAATGTCATGTGCTACAGTCAATTCTGACTTCTAATGACACTATAAGACAGTGTAGAATTGGCCCATAGGATTTAACAAAGATAATCTTTTCCTCATTTTTGATGTTGTTGTTGTTAGATGTCATGGAGTCCTTTCCAACTCATGGAGACTCTATGTAGAATAGATGCTTCGCCCCATACTGTGTCATGTTCACAATCTCTGCAATTCAGAGGCATAAATGCTTCTTGGGTCTCTCTTATTCATTGTCCAACTTTCACATGTATATGAAGCAACTGAAAATACTGTAGCTTGGATCAGGAGCACTTTAATCTTTAAGCAAGACTTCTGTTCCTTATCACTTTAAAGAAGTCCTTGACAGCATATTTGCCTAATGCAATGTCTTTTGATCCCTGACTACTGTTATTATGGGAGTTGATTGTGGATCCAAGCTAAAGGAGAATTTCAATCGTATCTCCATTCATCATGATACCATTTAGTGCTCTAGTTGTGAGGGTATTTGTTTTCTTGATATCCAGATGCAATCCACAGTGAAGTCTGGAGTCTTTTATCTTTATAGTTCAAGTTCTCTTCACTTTCAGCAAGAAATATGCCATCAGCATAATGTAGGCTGTTGATGAGTCTTCCTCCCATCCTGATGCACATTCTTCACATAGTTCAGTGTACTGGAGTATTTGTTTGACATGCATACTGAATAGTTATAATAAAAGAATACAGCCTTGACACACATCTTCCCTGATGTTAAACTATGCAGTATTTCCTTGTCCTGTTCAAAGGACTGCTTCTTGGTCCATGTACAGGTCCCCCATGAATACAACTATGTGCTCTGGAATTCTGATCACAGTAACACACAAACTACTACCACATGGCAAACTCACAGAAAAGTGACGGGTTTGTTGTTGTTGTTGTATACCATTGAGTTGGAACTAACCCACGGCTGACCCTCCAATGGGTTTTCAGAGACAGTAAATCAAATGGGAGGAAACTGTCCGTCCTTCTCCCGTAGAGCAGCTGGTGGATTCAAACTGTACGCTTTTGGGATTGCAGTGCATTTTCTCACCAGGCCATCAGAGCTGCCAGTGATGGTGAGGAGGGTTTTGTTTATTTTTTTTTAATATTTTATTGTGTTTTTAGTGAAGGTTTACACAATACTTTAGACTTTTTCTATTCAACAGTCTCTATAGAAATTGTTTGGTGACATCGGTCACATTCTTCAGAATGTCTGAGTATTCTCATTATTTCCATGTGATTGTTCCATTTCCATGCATGGGGTTTTCCTGGTACCTCACCTTCCCATTTTTGTTTTAAGACTGTTAACTATTTAAAGGCCCTAATGGTGCAGGACTTTGCTCAGCTTCTAAGCAGAAGGTTGACAGTTCAAACTCATCAGCAGCTCTGAGACAGAAAGATGCAGCAATCTGCTTTCCTGGAGAGTTACAGCTTTGGAAACTCTGTGGGACCATTAAACTCTGTCATGCAGAGTTACAATGAGTTGGAATCAACTAAAAAACAATAGATTTAGTTAGAGTTTGGTTGACTGTTCAGACTTAAATGTTGTTGTTATTGATTGCCCTCAAGTCAAGCATGACTCATAGTGACCCTATGAACAAAAGGCCTGAAGCCCCTCTAAAAGTATCAATATTTATCAAAGTTCGGAAGTGGATGCCACTCCTGCTTCCAAACCTGTCATAGTATGTTACTGTTGTTATGTGCCATTGAGTTGCTTGCTATGTATAGCAATCTTACATAGCAGCTCTGAACCCTTCCCTGTCCTGAATCAGACTCACTAACTCCAACGCACCAACCGTCATCACCCTAGTTACTGTGTCAATCCATCCCATCCTGCATCTCCCTCTCCTGCATTGTCTACCCTTCCAAGCATGATGTCCTTCTCCAAGGACCAGTCTCTCCTGGCCACAAGCCCAAAGTAAGTGAGGAGGAGCTTCAAAATCCTACCCTCCAAGGAGAGATTTGGTTTCACCCTCTCCAAGACAGACCGATTTGTTTTCTGAGCAGTCCATGGTATGTTCAAGACTCTTCTCCAGCACCACAACTTGAAGGCAACTATTCTTCTTCTGTCAACCTTAGTCATTGTCAAACTCTCTGAAGCATAACACATAATTGAGAAGACCATCCAATTCTCTGAAGGATAACATGTAATTGAGAAGACTATGGCCAGGATTAGGCACACCATTGTATCCAGACTGACCTCGTTGCTCTTCAG